GGCCAGCCCTGCTCCTTGGGCAGCCCCGAGGCTCACTAGGCGCAGGGGGTGCCCATCCCCGCCTCAGGCTTCTGAGGGATCACCTTGGCCCGCCGCCCCGGGCCGTGCTGGCGGGCACGGGAGCCCGCGGGCAGCAGAGCCGGCGCGGGCCGCGTTGCCGTCGCTTCACCCGCACGGCTGCTGGGTCGTCCTGCCGTGAGAAGACACGGGGGCGCGTGCTGGCCAGGTCAGCCCCCGAGCCCCCCGCTGGTCCTCCCCCAGAGGGCACCCCATACGCTGGCGGGCTGTTCCGCATGAAACTCCTGCTGGGCAAGGACTTCCCGGCCTCGCCCCCCAAGGGCTACTTCCTGACCAAGATCTTCCACCCCAACGTGGGCGCCAACGGGGAGATCTGCGTCAACGTGCTCAAGAGGGACTGGACTGCAGAGCTGGGCATCCGGCACGTGCTGCTGGTGAGCGGGGACCAGGCGGGAGCTGCTGGGGGCAGGGTGACCCCAAGAAGCCGCTGCAGGCCTTGCATGTAGGGCGCACTGCTCGGCCTGTGCAACCCCAAGTCTGCGCCTCCAGAGCGCTTCCGTTGCTGGGAGGCAGCATCACTGCCCGCGGCTGGGGGTGTCTGCGGGGTGGTCAAGCCCCGGGCGCCGCTGGTCCCTGGCACCCGCCATCAGCATCTGCTCCTTACGGCCTAAGAATTTCTGAGTGACTTCCTAATGAGCCCCCCTGGGGCGGCAGTGGGGAGAGCGGGGATTCAGGCGGGAGGGTGGGGCTGCCAGGTAAACACCAAGACCTGCTTGTCCTCCCAGGAGGGTCAGGGTGACCACGCTCCGCCAGGCCGCCCGCCTGCTGCTGCACTGCACGCGCTTTGGCCTTGGTTGGCCGTTCACTGCCTGCGAGCTGGGGAGGCGGCCGGCCCCGTCCCTGTAGTTAGACCTGCGCGGCCGGCCCGGTCCCCCAAGTGTCCCCTGGCCTCCTGAGGAGCCTGGCACGACCTCTGCCCCTTCCTGAGAACGGTGCTTCAGGTGGGGGGGCGGGGCCCTGGGTGGGCAGCCTCCTGACCACACCCCCCACAGACCATCAAGTGCCTGCTGATCCACCCAAACCCCGAGTCAGCCCTCAACGAGGAGGCCGGGCGCCTGCTGCTGGAGAACTACGAGGAGTACGCGGCCCGTGCCCGCCTGCTCACTGAGATCCACGGCGGCGCCGGCGGGCCCAGCGGCGCCAGGGCCGAGGCCAGCAGATCCCCGGCCGGCGGGCCCACCGCGGCCTCTGACCCCACAGCCCTTGGGGGCCTGGGAGGGGCCGAGGGCCCCATGGCCAAGAAGCACGCTGGCGAGCGCGACAAGAAGCTGGCGGCCAAGAAAAAGACAGACAAGAAACGGGCCCTGCGGCGGCTGTAGGCTGCCCGCTCGGTCTCTAAGTTATTTAAGTTATGGCGGGGGGGCTAGGGCGTCGGGCCTGGATTTGTTTTCTAAATAAAGTCGGAAAAGCAGCTCTCGCCTCTGCCGCCGGCCCCAGCCAGGGCTCTGGCCTCTGCCCGTCCACAGCAGCCGCCGGGTCCTGTGGCTTGTGTCGCCCAGGCCGCACCCCGGGAGGTGGGGTTTCGGCCCCTCCAGCCTCTGCCACCTGCAGGAGCCCTGGCAGCTGCTGGGGGAGGGCGGCTGGAGCAGGCGGTCGGCCGGGCCTCGCCCTAGAGCAGTGCCACAGGCAGACCCACGACCTAGGTGAGTGGGCAGCGCCATTCACTTGACGGGGAGCTGGGCGCCGTGAGGGATGCGGGCTGTGCATTGTACCCAGAAAAGTTTGAGTGCTCCCGCTGGCCAGCGTCACCCGAGCACCACTGAAGCCCAGGGGCGGGGGGGGGGGGGGGCCCACCCGAGCCTGCGGCACCAGCAGCCTGGCAGTGGGCCTGGATGGCCTAGCTGCAGGCCAGGTGTGCAGGCCGGGCGGCAGGGCTGCACCCACCCCCTCACACCTCAGTGAAGGCACAGGTGGGCAGACTCCGGGAGAGGGGAGCGGTGCCCGCCAGGAGGGGCCGTCCTGGAACCTGCCAGGCTGATAAAACCTTTTCAGGCGACTGGTTCCTCACGCATTCTAGAATCCACAACTACTGTCTTGTTCTGGCCATGGCTGCCTGCTCTCGCGTGGTGGTAGCACCCCAAAATAGGGGCTCGGGTGAGCCTCAGCACTGAAGCTGTCCTAGCCACCGCAGCAAGAGTTCGACACTCCCCCGCCCGCAGAGCTGATCCCGGGGCGCATCGGCCTGTTCTGGTCCCCCACTGAGTGGTGACTCCTCGCACCCCGCACCTCTGGTCTACCTGCTTTTGCATGCATTAAGTCTTGAAATTTTAAAAACTACATTCAGAAAAAATCATTAGGAATAAATTCAGCAAAGTGGAAAAGTCAACAAAAACAAGCTTTCTACATGCAAATGAAATCCAGACAACACCTGGCCTTGCAATTGCTACGAAAAGGGAGTACCCCACAACGCAGCACCCCACAACGCAGCAAGACAGTTCACCCAGGCTGGAAGCTGGTGCTCCTCGGAGCAGCGCTCACCCACAGCCCGCGGCTTCTGGCGGGGCAGCCACTGCAGGCCGCCAGCCGGCTTCCGCAGGCAGTGGGCAGCTCAGGCTACACTGGGCACCGGCCCGGAGGCGACGTCGCCCGAGGCTCAGGTGCTGGCTCCGAGCTGCCAACGTGCCCGCGGCTTCAGAGGGCAAGTGTGTCTGGGCACCGTCCTGGCTGTCCATTCTGAGGGCTTCACCTGAAGCCACGCATCAGGGACACACCAAAGGCGCAGGGCCTACAGGCCACAAGCCCTCCTCAAAGCCTGCGGGGTCCCCCTGCCAGCGTGAGGTCTCGCCTCAGGCCCGAGCCCACCCTGCACCCCCCCAGATGCTGCCCCTCGGCAGCGTTTCAGCAGATCCAGCTGTTCTCCCCCCACCAGGGCCCTGCACCCCAGTTTTTATGTGCACCGAAAAAAACCCTTACAACACTGCCCATGAGTCGCTCAGCCCTTCGTGCCCGGAAGGCCAGTCAGCTTTCCCCAAGGACGGCCAAACGCCCTGGCGGCCCTCCGCGGCGCAGACGTCAGCGTCTTCCTGCGACAGTCCCTCCCGCAAGGCAGCTTCCGCTGCCCTTGGGCTCACTGCCCACCGCTTCACCATGGACGCCTGGCCGGGTGGGCGTGACCAGCCAGGTGGGGGTAGCCCTGCACACAACCAGGCCCCAGCCATCTGTGGCCTTGAAGGCAGGATGCCCTAGTGGGCTGCTGGTGAGTACGGGTGGAGCAGGTCGCCGGTCCCACGGGCCAGCCCCGCAGCGGCCACAGGAGGGACCGACAGTCAGAGTCCAGCAGGGTCTTCCAGGCCCGCTGCCCTGGCCCCCAGGGCAGTCACGCAGGGCAGCTGGCTTTACTGAGTTGGAAGCACAGGCCTGCGACCACCAGCAGGGACTGCCATGCCCACCCCAGGCTGGGCTCCGCCCCCCAAGCAAGCGGCTATGGAGCCCACGTGGGCAAGCTGGTTCCTGAGGTTTGCTGGCCCTTGCTGCATGGCCAGCAGAGGTCTGCAGACCATCAAGGCAGAGAGCCACTCCCACCCGGCATTATAGGGCCCCCAGACCTGTGAGGGTTCCCAGCCTGTTGGGGCACCCCACTAGGCTCCCACAGGGGAGCCATGACTGCTGGGGAACTGAGGCCAGGTGTGAGGTGACCCTGTCCACAGCCCGGCCCTCCCACAGGGCGCAGCCCCCACCCCGGGGGCCTCTCGGAGACTTCCCCCATTTGGCTCCACTGTGACTTCTGGGAGCTGCAGTCAGTTCCTGGCTTGTGATTCCCCAGGATTCAACCCACACAGACCACTTGAGAGGAACCAGCTCAGATGACCCACCCCAGTGACTGCCCCAGAGCTTGAGGGCCCGGATGGGGCACTGGGGGTGAGCCCCACCCGCAGCCTCCTCCAGCCATTGTGGGGCCGACTGGCAGACTGCCAAAGCCCAGGCCAGTGCTGGGGCTGTGGGGTGTGCGCACAGCTCTAGGGAGCCGAGAGAGACAGGAAGCAGTGAGGTGACGACCAGGCGGGAGGGGTGGCTCTCATAGGCCAGGAAGACCCCAAAGGGGTGGGGGTCAACCAGCACCAGGAGGCTATGCAGCCTGCCAGGGTCTGGGTGTCCTTCCCGCCCCTAGCCCTACTTCTTGGGGGTGGCAACCCACAGAAAGGGCACAGACCTCCACACACACCGGACAGCACCAACTCATGCCTGAGGCCCCTTAGCCCGCTGGACTCCCCCGAGCTGCTTGCTATCACCAGCAAGGCCAGTCTGGCCCCTGGACAGACCCTAAGGGACACACAGGCAGCCACGCCAAGAGGACCCCCCCGGCAGCAGCACCACCATGTGGGGAGCCACAGGCGTGCAGGAGAGGACGCAGGTCGCCTGGCCAGCTAGGTCCAAGCGTGAAGGCCCAACCCCGGGGCAGAGGGCGCTTGCCGGTCACAAGGCCAGAAACTGCCCAACACTCGCCCAAGTGCGCCTGAGCCCCTGGAGCGCCGGGCCCGGGCCGTGTCCAGGACAGACTCGCCTCCGGTGCCTGGGACCAGCACCGTGCCTGGACGCTCCCAGACCAGCGGGTGGCCAGGGCCACCGGCCAGGGTACAGAGCAAGGAGCAGCGGCCAGGACACTCGGCCTCCGGCCCAGGAAGCAGTGGGCCCGGGGCGTTCCGAAGGTCCCGACCATTTCACCTGTGGGCAGGTGCCCTGTGGGGTGGGAGAGGACCCCCAGCAGCAGCCTGGGTGTCGGGTGGGTGGGCGGCCCCCACAGAGGAGCCAGGCGGGGGCGGAGGCAGACACCTTTATTTCTGGGGGACACTCAGGAGCTCTTGGTGGGGCGGGTCCTCTTCCTCTTCACCATCACGGGCTTCTGGCTACGCAGGATGGCGCTGGCCCTCCGGATGGCAGCCTGGGGACGAGGCGGCTCAGTCTCCCCGCACCCCCGCGCCCGCCCCCCCAGGCAACGACCTCACCATGCGCAGGTCCGGCCGGTACTTGTTCTTGCGGATCATGTGGCGGATGCTGCTGAGCGTGGCCCGCGCGTTCTTGTTGATGGTGGTGCGCACATACGAGGTGGCCGGCTTCCGCTGGCCTGGCGGGACACGGGCGGCCGGGTCAGGGGGAGCGGGGACCACAGAGGGTCCAGGACACAAGGGTGCCACCTCCCGCCCTGCGGCCCGCACCCCACAGCCAGGGTGACGCTCAGCCCTGGCAGGCCCGCCCGGCGCCGAGCCGAGCCCCGCCAGCTGCTGCTGCTCCGGCCCCTCTGGCTGGTCCCCGAGGCAGCGGTCACTGCCGGTCACTCTAGGCCAAGGCACAGGCACCGTCCCGAGCTGACGCCGGGCAACGAGGAGCGCTTGCTCCTCCCCAGACAGGGGAAGCACCCCTTTCTCCTGCAGGGAGCAGCAGGCGCCCAGGAGCGCACCGGGACGGAGAGCAGAGCTGCCCAGCACACGCTGGGTGGGTCACCCCATCCAGTCCCCCTCCCGTCCCCCTGCTTCCCGCGGTCCCAGGAAGGCACCCCCCCAGCCCTGCGACCTGCACAGCAGGAGGCGCAGGGCAGTGGGGTGCCGAGGGGCCCGCGGGCCGGCCGCGCCAAGCGGACCACCCTGCCAGGCCGCCAAGGGCCTTTCCCTGACACCCCGCAAGGAGAGTGCGCGGGGCGGCCCGGCCGA